TCTCTTTTGGGAAGAGGAACCACTTTTGCAGTGTTTCTTTCTCCCTTGCCTTCCCCTCTCCTCTTAAAGTGTTGATTCAGTTAGGAAAATGGGTCAGGGTTCAATGAGGAAAGAGTTCTCAACAAGTAGTTCAAAAGAGGATGTTTAATACGGAAAATTAATTACAAAGATGTCAGGAGAGCTGAAAGACCAAGTGTGACAGCGAGGCAAACACAGAAGCCACTGAGAAAAGGCCGGGACTTTCCAGCAGGAACTGGGACCCCAGAGGGGAAGGGCAGTCTCCCAGAAGCTGAAACCATGGAAGCAATGAAGCCATAGCAAAAAGCAGAGAGAGAGAGGGAGAAATAGCTTGGCTTGTTCCTTCCAGTCTCTCATCAGTGCCTCCTATTGGCTGAATATAGCCAGAAGTCAGTTGGCAAGGGAAAATGAGAAATGGTTTGTAAGGGTTAGCTCCAGCAACACAGAACAGAACAGGGAATGGGTGGGGAAACGGATCTGACAGTCGATGAGCAAATGCCATCTCAGTTACTTGCAGCTACAGATAACAGAAGAGGCAACTGGGAATGGCTTAAACTAGGCACGTTTAACAGATAGGAGGTAGGGCAGTTTCAGGGTTGATTAGATTAATTGAGGTTTATGGGGGTTTATGGGGTAACTATTTTGGTTCAAAACTGATTCGGTTTGAATTAAAAAGCATGACTTATGGCCTATCAAACAAACATATGTTGTACATCTGCTTAACCATTAAAGTAAAGAATGCACTCTGTTAAGATAAGAATGCATACTTCCCCTCCTACACCCTATTGGTAACACCCTATCGGTAAGCCCGGAATAGTCCCTTTCCTGACATCACCTTCACATTGACCTGATAATTTGCAATTGAATACCTTTTGAAATTTTGATGAAAATGTATCCTGGGTGTGTTTAATATGTGTTCTTTCTTCTAAAAAGATATAAGACTGTACTGAAAACCATGCTTCTCCGGAAGGCTTTCTAAGGCCTTCCTGGGTTATAATCCTCATTCTGGCTCAAGTAAACTCACCTTATTTCTCTTATCTATAGAATGGTTATTGGTTATTTTGCATCGACACTATCCTCTGGCTTGTTCTTTTCATGGTTTCACGATGGTTGCAGAATTCCAGGCAGCACAGATTCAAAAAAATCAGGATGTAGCATGGTATTGTTTATTCCTATGTGTCTGCTTTTTAATCAGCAAAGAAAAGCACTTGCTGAAGCCCCTGAAAAGAATTCCCCTTAAACCTCCTTGGCCATGACGGAGTCACACGCCCCGGCCTAAACCACTGGCAAGAGGAAATGGCCCACCCAGATTGGCTCATCTCAATGATGTTTTTTCCCCTTGAGCTGGGAATGAGTGTTGCCTCCTGAAGGACATAACTGGGAAAAAAAGAGAAGATACCTGAACAAAAGTCATGATTTGTTAGAGTGGGAGATGGGAGTGGGGTTTATGAATGTTTACTCATAGGAACATGGTGGCTGTTATGGTTTCTCTTTCACATTTTTATTCCCCTGACCTCCTTCGTACTCAGCCTGAGGCATCCGTCTGCCTACGTGTGTGTGTCTTGGGGTGAGGTGGGGAAAAGAAGAAATTAGGATGAATTCAACAAGAATGCAAAGAATATTGCTCTTTTTTCTTTAAATGTATTTCCAAAACAGGCTTAAACAATTAAATTATATGCCTTCAGAGACTAGGTTATTTATGTATGTGGTCAAGAGTAATGTTGAAAATATTTAACAACTGGAACCAAATGAGCACTGGTCATTCAGGACAGACTACTGACCAATCAGAATGGGCAAGGCTGAAAAGCACTAGTAGAGCTGTACTGGTGCAAACCAGCTGAAGGTCAACACTGCACACGGTACCAATTTAAAAAGATACCAAAGGGTAGACAGTGAAACATGAGCCTTGCTCCCATTCCATCCCCCAGCTTCCTAGTCCACTTCTTCAAAGACAACCACTTTTACCAGAAAAACAGGCTTTTGAGGCTCTGTAGCAAGACAAAGCCAGGCTTTGTCAACAAAGAAATTAACTTCCTAAATTCATTTATCTCCCTCTTTAGCATGTTAATTAACTGGTTTAGTGGACTTGACTGAAGAATTTTGCATATGGGAGGGTCCAATCAGCAATAAGTGGCAAGGGTAAAGGTCCATTCTTTCCAGTCCAAGGGATTGTGGTTGGAAAAGAGACAGAGTAGGGGAAGGGTATATTAGATAGGTTGAGGGGAGTGCTGAGGGCTGGGGAGCTGAAAGCACATTTCCCTATAAGCTGTGCAGAACCAACCGGGGGGTCAGCACTTCATGCAAATTCAGTGACACGGAATGTTTAGAAGGAATGTCTGCCTCTCAGAGTGAGAGAGAGGAGGACTCCAAGGGATGCCATGGACAGTAGCTGTATTGAGCATCAAGGAAGTAGAAGATGATTGTGGCAGAGATTCAGAGGGTTCAGAAGGTGTTAGGCTGAAACAACCAGAGCACATTGAAGGACTTTGACCCGGCTGAGAAAGGCCAGAGTAGCCTTCACGTACCAGGAATACCCAGGATTCATTGCACCTCACTGAGTAGCCAAAATTAGCCTTGCTGCAGGCAAGTCTAGCAAGAATTCAGAGACCTTGAAGGTCCCAGGACCAAGATTCCCCATCAGTGTCTCAAGTTCATGTCAGCTACCCTTTGTCCTCCCTCCTATTCTCCCAGATGTCATTTTGAGGGGAGCAGAGAGAGATGGAGTATTAAGAGATTGAGTGTTTTAACTGAAGCTTCAGGGAACTGTTTAAATTATTGCAATGCACTAAGTTTATCAAATTGGTCTAACGTTTAGGGTTCTCCTTCTACTGCCCGAAGGCTATTTTATTTACACAGCTGAATGTATTTTAAGTAAATCTGTGACACTGCCATAAAAATATCAAGTAGTTTTTCATATGAAATGCTGCCAAGACAGAAGATTGTGTCTTTTGGCAATTATGGTTTATTTTTCTAAGCTTAACTCTTAGAGGGTAACTATATTTTCCTTCTACCCACATTTTTGATGGATTTCCACATATTGCTAACTATATGCTTACATATTCAAACATGTTTGAATTCGGGCATGAGTAAGACTGCCATTACAGAACAGAATGAAGCAAATAAAATTTTTTTTTTTTTTTTAAAGATTTTATTTATTTAATTTTTTCCCCCCAAAGCCCCAGTAGATAGTTGTATGTCATAGCTGCACATCCTTCTAGTTGC